TTAAAAGTTGGGGCTGCTGGCCGTGGTGGTACACACCTATAGTCCCAGCACTCATGAGACTGAAGTAGGAGGATCACTTTGACTTCAAGACCAGCCTGGGCTACATAGTGAGTTCAAGGCTAGCCTGAACTACATGGTGAGACATTGTCTCAATTCCCCTAAAAGAGTGGAAGGCAATTAGGTCATTAGGGGTGCTACCCTGGTCTAAGAGATGAGTTAGTTTTTTCGAGAGTGAGCTGTAACAAGAGTAAGACTGATGCCTTCCCTTGCACTGGATTCCTGTCCCACTGTGTGATTGCTCCTTCTCATGTGTGCCCCTGCCCTATGATGCCACACACCGTGTTGTGTTGTAGCTGGGGTCTTCACCAGAGACTGAGTAGATGGGACCAGCCAGTATTGGACTTTGGACCTCCAGAGCTGTGACTTAAAGAAATCCCTTTGTCTTAAACATTACCCAGCCTCAGTTATTTTGTTTTAGCAATGGGAAACTGATGAACAGGGTGTCACTGTCTGCCTGGTGGTGCTTTCCTGGGGGAGCAGTGTATTGCCCCACATTTCAGGCCAGCTGTGTGACTTGCTTGGGCCAAGGGAAGATCCAGTGAGCCACTCTGAACGGAACTGCAGTCAGATTGAATCCAGGTTTTACTTTCAGCCACCCTGCCATTGGCAATTCTGAATCAGGATTTTCACTTGGCATTTAGTGGGTGGTGATAGCAAATATTGACTCACCAGGCTAGTTTTGTGGAATAGAAGCTGAGATGGTTTCTCTAACTCTACAAATGGCTGAGCAATTAATCCTTTAATAAATCTTTTCTGCTTAAACTACCTGATGACTATTCTATTTTTCAATGAAGCTATATCGTCTCCTGTATACACAGTTTCAGAAACACTTTTTTGTTTTTAAGATAGGATCTTGCTTTGTAGTTTAGGCTGGCTTTAAACTCACTATATAGTCCAGGTTGGCTTCAAACTCACAGAGACCCTACTGCCTCTGCCTCTCAAGTGCTGGGATTACAGGTGTGTGCTGCCACGCCCAGCCAGAAGCACTTCCTTTACTTTTAAAATTTTTTCTTTTTCTCTTATATTTTTTCTTTCTTTTATTATTACTATTTTTATTTTGTTTATTAGTACATAAGTTTGTATACATGTTTACATTGCTTCTGGGAAATTAATACATGTACACAACATGTCTTAATTCTTTTTTTTCCAGCCCCCTTCCTTTTTTTCCCTTCCCCTTCAATCTATCTCTTGATTATCTTCCTTTTTTTTTTTAACATATGCTTTCAAAAAAGAAAAAAAAAAAAAGGAATTAAGACATGTTATGTACAGGTACCAGCTCCACACAAGGAATATAAATGGAAACACCTTTTTAAATGCTGATCACCTGTATGCTTTCTGATGAAATGAATAAGAGGCATATTTGGCATTGTAATTAATATGTGTAATACTTTGTATGATTTCCCTTCCCCTGAAATTAAACTGACAAGATTAAAAAGAGATTGAGAGGATGAGGCTCGGTGGTCAAGTGCTCGCCGAGCATGTGCAAGGGCCTGAGCGCAACCCCCAGCACCTCCCCCAAGACAGACCACTGAAAAGATGCTCTGTTCAGCATAGGTGAAGGAATGAAGAACCAAGAACTCTCACACTTTTCTATGGATGGAAATTCCTTTTTTGTGTAAAACTTGTTAGTACAGCTTTGAGCACTGTATTGATTAGAGTTCTCTACAGAACCAGACTCAACAGAAAGAATATATATGGTAGACTTCCAGGTCAGAGGTGTGAGAGTCCACAGTGGCCACCTGTGCAGTGCAGGGCCAGAGCATCCAGTAGCTGCTCAGTCCGAGAAGCTGGAAGCAGAGCAAGAGGGATTAGGGTGCAGCACCAGTCTGAGACCGAAGGTGCAGATGCCCCTGGAGAGTCCAGGTGTGTGTCCGAGGTGAAAGGCGGAAGCTGAGGTCTGAGTCCGCAGGAGACAGCAGTAGTAAAAGACACAACTGCTCAATCAGAGCAGAGCTTTCCAAATGCAGGCCGACTTCCTTTTCCCCCTTTCACTCCATCTGAGCTGCCAGGTTATCGGATGGTGCCACCCACAACTGGGATGGTCTTCCCCTCTCCTCCCCAGAACTGTGCTTTACTAATGTTCTAGGCTTTCTTAACCTAGTCAGGCTAACAGGCACAGTGGATGGTCACAAATGGCTTAGCAGTCTGCACACATTTGTTTTACCCATCAATTTGATAAAAATTCATTCTTTTTTATTTGTTTGTTTGTTTGAAACACAGTATTGGTAAGTTACCCAGGCTGGCCTTGAACTGCTAATCGTCCTGCCTCAGCCTCCCAAGTAGCTGGGATTACAGGAATGTACCATCGTGCTTGGGTAAACAAAATTTTTTTCTAAGGAAATAAAAGAGGTATGTAAAGATAGAGAAAAGGGATGTTTAGAACAACAACAACAATACTATTTATAAAGAATATTATTTATAAAATATTTATAAAGAAAACTTGAAATTTAATGTCCTCAGATAGAGAACTGGTAGAGTATACTCTTGTGTGTCTATTAAAGGAACTCTACCCAGCCATTAAAAAGGAAGGATTGTAGAAGGATTTTTATCAGTACAGAAATGCCTTGTAATAGTAGTTAAAAGCAAAGATGGATATAAAACAGTACATTCACTTTTGTTTTCTGATATGACATGTAAGGAGCTTGAGTGGCACTGTTTTTTAAAATTCTCTTTTTTAAAAGATGTCTTCAACATCCTGATCAAGCTATTACATTTAGCAATCAACAGCATGCTTGCAAAAAAAAAAAAAAAAAAGAGGCTACATTAAAACCCTTTTGTTGGAGTGCTTTACACTTTCCACAGAACAGAGACTAAAATAATCTGTTATACAGTTAGATGCAGGTACAGTCCTTGAGCTTTTTTGCCCACAGACATGAGTGTTGTCGGAAACATATCTTCTTCGTAGCAGTGAGGTCTTGCACTACTGTGGCTGACTGAGTTCACACATCTGTTGTAACCTGTAGCTTCCCTATCACTTCTCTGGCTCTCCCGACCTGCTGAGCTTTCTTTCCTGGCAGTAGTTAAAACCTCGTACTGCTGCCGTAGCTAGTGCAGGTGCTAGAACTGCCATAGCCCCTCTCATGGTTTGGCAAAGTATTGGTCCCCCTGACCATAGGGGCCAGAGCTTTTGCCACCAAAGTTTCCTTCTTTCCTGGGTCTGAAATTTGAAGGTTGATGTTGTAACTGCCAAAATCATTGTTGCTTCCACCAATTCCAAAATGGCTTCCATCATTACCGAATCCACTGTAGCCATCTGCACTGCCACTATATCCAGCACCACCACAGCTGCCACCAAAGCCACCTTCACTACTGAAGTTTCCGCCGTTACCGAAATTACCATTGGCATCTCCATGCACCACCATGATTTCCAGGACCACTCTGACCTCTTTGACTAGATGAAACACAAGCCATCTCCTGTGTTCCTCCCCGGACAGTTGTGGCCGTTCGTTCACAACCTCATATTTCTGAACGACCATCCTAGCCTCAGAATCATGGTTGCCAAAGGTTACAAAAGCAAAGCCTCTCTTCTTGCCACTGCCTGGTCGGTGATGACTTCAGTCACTTCAGTTTTGCCATACTGTTCAACACAATCCTGTAGGTGACGTTCTTCAGTATTTCCTTGAATGCCACTAACAGACATCTTCACAGTGAGGTGGGCCCCTGGTCTTTGAGAATCTTCTCTCGGAACAGTGTCGGGTTCCACAGTTCTTCCATCCATCATGTGTGGCCCTGCGTTCATGACTGCATCCACCTCCTCCGCAGTGGCTTGAGTGACAAACCCAGAGCCCCTGGAGCTCTCATTACCGTGTGGCCCGTCGGTGTTCCCTGCTGCTCACAACGGCTTCTACACTCTCACCAGCTGTTTCGTTGCTCAGCCTTCCAATGAAGAGCTTCCAAAACCTCCCACTTGCCTTAGGAGTCACTGACTTAAGCTTACTTCGGTGGGAAGAGAGACTTGGACCATGCTTCCTCTGTGGTAGCCATAAGCAGATAGGCAATTTTCTTTATTGGTGCACGTTTGCAGTATGTAACGTCTGTGTTCCTTCCATGGAGTTGGTACATGTACATAACATCTTAGTTTCTTTTGTCATCCCCTTTCTCTCCTCTTCCTCCACCTCCCTCTATCTCTTGATCCCCTTCCCATTTATTATCTTTCATTTTTCTCTTTTTTATAATTTGGGTTTCTCATTAAAAGAAACCACGTAATATATAAACTTGTGTGTCTGGTTTATTTCACTTAACATTATGGTCTCAAGGTGCATTCATTTTCCCACAAATGACTCGAGTCTATTTTTCTTTATAGCAGAGTAGTGCTCCATTGTGTGCAAATAGCTAAATCTTGGAGGCACTTTCCATGTTCACCAACAGATGAATGGATAGAGAGGTTGAGTGGTATTGTTTTTATGCTTAAAACAAGAGAAAAAGGGAAAAACTGAAAGTCAACAACTCTTCTTAGAGCCATCAGAGAACAGAGGTCACAGGGCAAGGCATTGCCTCTAGAATTGGAGAGACCTGTGAATACCGTGATTACAGGTTCCAAGAGCAGTAGTCTACGAGCTAAAGTCTGCTGCCAGAGGCTGCATCTGGGTAGAAAAACTTGAGCTGTAATTGCAACGGCAAGCAGAAGGATTTGGAGGCAGATTTATTTATGTCAACAGGCACTGATCAGGATCATTCCCAGAGTATCAGGCCCTGATCTCTGGTGGTCTAGGGCTTATACGGGTGTAGTGGTTGATTGACTGTGTCAACTTGAGATGTTTAGAAGCTTAACTAAGTTGGCTCAGCAATTCTACACCCTAGGGTGTAGAGGACTCACCCTAGGGTGCCTCATCACCTAGATGATATAAAAGGGAAATGCAGAAGGACAGAGGGGCTTTATTCAGAGGAGCTCCAGTCTTCGCCTTCAGCTTGGATGTTGTCTCTTGGCCTCTAGTGCAGACTCTTTGGCTTCTGCGTTGGATCCTTCAGCCTTCCGGTGTAGGCTCATCAGCCTTCCATTACAGACCCATTGGCCTCCTGATAAGGACTTGTGTGGAACGCTGCAGTGAATTCCAGACCCTGGACTGAATCCTTCGGTTTCCAGTGTGCAGACACCCTCTGCACGCTTCCTTATCCAACTGTATGGCTGACCGTGGTAAGCCAATCTTCTAATTTCTTATACATTTGTATATCTTGTGTTATAGCTCTTTTCTCTAGTGAAACCCTGACTGATACAATGGGATAAGCAAGCAGGAAGTACAGAGGCAGAATGGCTTGTGAATTGGTGATTGGTTTATACACTATGCAGCATAGTAACCAGCTATGCATCACAGTGACTAGCCATTTTTAAGAGACAGAAGCAACCAGAACGGGAACAGGAACTATTACCTGGGCGACTAACAAACTGAAATATACTGGCTGGGAGGGCATTTTCTGTTACATAATGGGTGAATTTCTGGAGTTCAGTGTGGGCAAGCTTTAAAGTTAATAATTCCAGGGGAATCCAGTGTTATGGAGGCCCCCACTCTTATGAGTTTTACTTCCAGGAGCCTGAGAAAGTTCTTGAGTATAGATCAGAGGAAAATACCCAGGAATCTTGAGTATAGATCAGAGGAAGATACCCAGGAAAATTGAAGATTCTGAAGTGAGCCAGAGCTTTTTTTTCTTAACAGAAGTCTTCCCTTAAAGAGCTTTCAAAGGAAATTTTTATCAGCACATAGCCACATTGGGTTTTACCAGATCCTAACTGACCTGGGGAAAGGGAGCTACCAACTCCATCTCCCTCTGGCCTTTCTCTCTTGCTAGAGGACAGACAGTAGTGAAAGGCACAGCCGAGGAGCACAGGTTCCTTGAGAGACTGAGACTCAGTCACAGGGCTAGGGAATGCACCCTGTGTCCCCACCCTTTGCCTCTTGTGCTAGCTTTCTGTTGCTGTAACAAATACCTGAGAGATCAAAGGAAGAAAGATTTATTTTGATTTATGGTTTCAATCATGGTCACTTGGGTCTATTGTTTCTGGGCCTTTGGTGAGATGGTGGGGCATGCATGATAAAGCACAGCTGCTCCCCTTTATGGCAGCCAGGAAGGGGGAGGGCAAAATGTACTTCCAGGGCACACTGGCAATGACCCACTTCCTCCAGCTAAACCCCTCTCCTAAAGTTTCTGCTACCTCCCAGTAGCCCATTAAGCTATGCACACATCGAGGGATTGATCCATTGGTGAGGTTATAGCCCTCCTGGTCCAATCACCTCCGTAGGCCCCACCTCTGAACACTTACATGTGGAACCAAACCTCAAACACAAACGATCTGGGGGCACATTTTAGATCTGTACCTTAATAACACCTCACCTGCTTGCAAAAAAATAGTACAGGAACTTCTTCATAAAGAGAAAAGGATGGTACAGGTCAGAAACCTGGGTCTACATAAAGAATGAAAGAGTGTTAGGGAAGGAATGAGTAAAGATAAATTTCTTTTCTTTCTCTTAATTGATCTGACAGATAACAGGCTGTTCAAAGTAGTAAGAGCAACAGGGCTGGGGATATGGCTCAGTGGCCCAGCACCTGCCTGGCAGATGTGAGGTCCTGAGTTTGATTCCTGGTACTGGAAAAAAAAAAAGAGCAGCAATTGATTATCATTTGTGGGCAAAGGAAGTGGATGACATTAATGTCATAGGGAACGGAGGGAGGAACTAAACACGCTACCAGAGAAATAGTGTAGTGTTTGAAAGTGGACTTGGATTAGTTGTAAATGAACATTGCAAACTTTATGGCAAACTAAAACACAAATGTTTTTTTTAAAAAGGTATAGATGATATGCTAAGACAGCATAAAAGAGAATCATATAAAATGCTCAGTTAAAACCAGAGAAGGCAGAGTGAAGGATAAAAAACAAAACAAAACAGAAAGTAAAATCCACACAAAAAGAAAAGCTAAGCCATGGATGGTTTAGAGGTAGTGGTAGTGGCTTGTGGTAGTGGATGCCTGTCATCCAAGTACTCTGGGAAGTTGAGGCAGGAGGAACAGAAGTTCCTCCAAGCCCAGCCTGGGAAGTCAGCAACTTATTTAGCAAGACTCTGTTTCAAAAAAACAAAAACAAATAAAATGCTGGAACCAAACACCAGCGGGGTGTGGTGATGCACAACTGCAATCCCAGCACTCGGGAGGTGGAGGTAGGAAGATTGCCCCAAGTTCAAGGCCAGCCTGCACTAAAAAGTGAGAGCCTATCTCAACTTCCCCTGAAACCAAACCAAACCAAACCAAACACCAAAAACCAAAAAATAAAACAACAGCAACAATAAAAAACAGCACCCCCCCCCGAGATTAGGGCAATAAATGGAAAATAGTGGCAAACAGAATAGATATTAATCCAACCATATCTATAATCACTTTAATTGTCAATGTTCTAAGTACACAACTCAGAGACAAAGTGGATAAAACAAAAGTTAAAAAAAGCTCAATGGTAGAGGACTTGCTTAGCATGCATAAGGCCCTGGGGTCAATGCCCAGTACTGCAGAGAGAAGAAGAAGAAGAAGAGGAAGAGGAGGTGGAGGAGGAGAAGAAGGAGGAGGAGGACAAGAAGAAGAAGAAGCAGAAATAAGAGAGGGTTAATGTAATGAATAAAGTAGTCAGCTTTTTTTATTTTAAAGAGAATAATAAAAAAAAGAACAGTAGCAAAATACCAACAACATAGACAAAAACAAAACAAAGCAAAAACAATAAAAATGATACAGGGTTTCAGAACAAAATGATAGGAATTAACAGTGGTTGTAGTCAGCTTCCTAAAGATGATATAATAATACTTATGCACACTTAATGTATATGCACCTAACGACAGAGCACCAAGCCACACAGGGTAAAAGACAAATGGAACTGCCAAGAGAAAGAAATGAGCCCACCATGGTGGCTGGAGACTTCAGCATTTTTCTACCAAAAATAAACATCCAGTAGACAAAAAATCAGGATGAACATAGTTTAACTGAACAACACCATCAATCAACTGGCTGTAATTTACATTTTTAAAGTATTTCACCCAGCAACAACAGAATGCACTTTCTTTTAAAGGTTGTGTGGGACACTCATCTAGACGCTACATCCCTTAACAAACTTAAAAGAATAGAAATCACATCATGTAAGTCAGATCACAGTGGAATTAAGCTAGAAGTAAAAACCAAAAAGATAGAAAATAACAGAATTCTTGAAACTACATATTTCTGAAAAACAAGAGTTAAAGAACTCTTAAGAAAAATAAATATTTCAAACTAAACAAATACAAAAAACTACCCTGGGTATGGTGTACACACTTGTAATCCCAGTTACTTGGGAGATAGAAGTAGGAAGATTGAGAGAATTTAAGGCCAGCCTGGGCAACTTAACAAGACCCTGACTGAAAATAAAAATTAAGCAGGGCATAATAATGCATGCTTGTAATTACAGCACTCAGGAGGCTGAGGCAGGAAGATTGGAAGTTTGAGGCCAGCCTGGAGTGCATAGTGAGATGTGTCTCAAAAAATTAAAATTTAAGGAGTTGCTACTGTAGCTCAGTGGTAGAACTCTAGCATATGTAAGGTTATGGGTTCTATCTGTAGTATTTAAAAAAGTACAGCATATCAAAGTTATGGTGAAAGCCATGCTTAGAAATTTATAGCATTAAATGTATATATTATAAAACAAAAACAAATCTAATGTCAATAAACTTCTACCTTATGAAACTAGAAAAATAAGAGCAAGTTAAATCCAAAATAATCAAAAGCAAAGAAACAATAAAATTCAGAGCAGAAATCTATGAAATTGAAAACAGGAAATCAATAGACAAAAATCAATGTAACTAAAAGCTGGCACTTTGAAAGATCAATGAAATTGACAAACCCCTAGCTAGGCTAACTGGAAAAAAAAAGGAAGAAAGATGACAATGTCTAATTACTAGTATAAGAAATGAAAGAGCCATCCAACTGATCCCAGAGATGGTAAAAGATTAAAAAACTCAACCCCCACAAACAAGCTGTAATATGTACACGTAACCACTCCCCAAGATGACAGTAAATTGTGTGAACTGCAAACATGTACTAATAAAAATTTTAAAAAGAATAATACAAAATATGACGAACAACTCAATCCTTTCAAATTTGATAACCTAAATGAAAGGGAACAATTCCTTAAAAGATACAAATAAAACTCATATAAGTAGAAATTGATACACTGGATAGGCCTGTTCTTATTAAGGAAACTGGATCAGTGATTCTTTTCCAAAACAGAAACTGCCAGGCCCACATGGGTACACTGGTAAATTCTACCAACATTTAAGGAAAAAATTAAATCAGTTCTCTAAACTGCACCAGAAAACAAAAGTAGAAGGTGCACTTCCTGATTTATTCTAGGGCCAGTAGTTCCCAAACACCAAACCAGACAGAGTTAAGGAAAACTACACTGGCATCTCTCATGAACACGGATGCAAAAATCCTCAGAAACATATTAGCAGACCAAATCCAACAATGTGTAAAAATGATTATGACCAAGTGGGATTTATTCTAGGTATGCAAGTCTGGTTTAACATCTGAAAATCAGTGTAATTCATCATGTCAGCAGGAAGAAGAAGAAAAACCATATGATCCTATCAATAGATGCACAGAAATACTTGATAAAATGGTACATTGAGAATGTTTTTTCTAGATTAATAGTTATTTTTATATCTATCCATCCAAAATCTGTACAGAAAAATGCTGTATAGATGGTGAGTTCTATATTCTTAAATCTGTATTCTAAAATCTGTACAGATGGTGAGTTTTATATTCTTCTTTTCCTTTTCTGAATTTTCTACATTTTTTATACAATTTTCTAGAAAAAAGCATTTATGATTTTTTTTTTTAAAAAAAGCCTTATTGGTTTGGCAAGGGCCCATGGACGGTAACAGGTATGGAAAGGTCACAGTTAAGCTGGTTATGGTTGTGCATGCTTGTGGTCCCAGCTACTAGGGAGGCTGAAGCAGGAAAATTGCTTGAATTAGAAATTTGAGGCCAGCTAGGATAACACAGCAAGACCTTGTCTCTGAAAGAAAATAAAGGTCACAGTTAAAGAAGCTAAGTCTCTAAGTCTTCTAGTGCCCTGTTGAGGGCATGAAATGAAGCACTAAAAAGGCTCTCTTTGTGTAGTATTTACATGGTCCTGAAGTAGTGGGTGTTCAAGTGGCTTGGTATTTCTAAACTGGCCCATAGGCAAAATACAGAACTGCAGAGCAGCGTATCATCCCCATTGACTAATTTTGCAATAGCTGTAATTGCTGTCATTGATACAGAGAGAGCAGTTTCTCTTCAGATCTAACGTCAGCCTGTACAAGTAAACCCTTACAAATCGTTTGCACATACACATACAAACTACAAGCACATGTGCTTTACAGTGCTGTCTTAGGTATTTTTCTCTCCTTGCTGAGACAAAATACCTGCCACCCAAAATTAAGGAAGGAAAGGTTTACTTAGCTCACAGTTTGTGGAGGTTTCGGTCCATAATCAGCTGGCTCCAAGGCAGGACAGCATGGCACAGGCACAACAGTTAAAGGTGGCAGAAGAGAGCAAAAGCAGCAAGATAAAAAGGACAGCATGCAAGCCTCTTTCCCTCATTCTATCCTAAGCAGGCTGCACCCCTCCGGGTGGGTGTAGCACTCACGCCATCTCCCTGCCCTCCTCTTGCACAGGATGAGGATGTTTACACAGTGAACACTCTGGCCCCCTGCTGAGTTGCTTAGTTAAGCTTCTAAACTTCTCAAGTTGACACAATGTATCAGCCTATACAAATGCTGAAGCTTCAAAGTATAGATGTTTATAGCACTGATCCTGATCAATTTAGCTTTTGCAGATTTACAGCCTGTATGTATTGTCTACAGTATTGCCAAAGGCTTAATTTGCTTTGTTTTCCTTGAACTATTAACCTTCTACCTGGTACCTGGGAAGAATTTTCTGATTTGAGCTCTAAATTGAATCCTGTCCTATGCTAAGTTGGATTCCTTTGACTTCAGATAGACTTATCATCATCTCTACACATCTGCTGCATGTTCTGCCAGTTTATTTCTGCCTGGGATTGGTTGACCATCTGTTATTACACCTATGTGAATATTACAGCCACAATCCCTACCTCCAACTCTAAGACATCACCTTTGCTCTCCCTGTCTCCTAGTTCTGTGGTCTGCAGCAGATTCATCGCCCACAGGAAGTGGGATTTGGAGTCAGCTACATCCTGATTTAACACCCTTCCCACTATTTACCACCTGGATGAACTTGGACAAGTCACTGAGTGACTCTTGCATTGATAAATGAGGCCAGCGCCAGTCCGTAGAACTGGTGTGAAGATTAAATGAAAAGCACTTTGCACAATCCCTGGCACAAAGCAGGCAGTGAACACAACGGAGCTGCATTCTCCATTGCTACTCAGGTGCACTGTCGTCTGTGTCAGTTATGAGTTAGTTTGAAAGGCTTTCCTTGTGAGACTATCCCTCGGGTTTCCCACAAAATAAGACCTAACCGGAAAATAATCAGCTTTGAAAACTAGAACTCAAAAATGCCAGTCCCTGTGAGCCTATTCCTCCTTTACCTGCCATCACTATTCTGCTCAGAGGCTGCTCTGTAAGGCAGGTAAGGCAAGTCCTGCATTACCAGTGTAAGTTCTGTATTACCTGTGCTTCTTTACAGCACATGCGTATGGGACCCGACTGTGGGAGGAGATGACCTTTGCCACATAAATGTCATTTAAAAAATGGAAAATTTAAATCAAGGAGGAAACCCTGGAAAAGCCATAATTATTTTTCTCTTTTTTTTTTTTTTTTTGGTTTTTCTCCGGTACCGGGAACTGAACTCACGACCTTGTGCTTGCCAGGCAGGCGCTTTGCCACTGAGCTAAATCCCCAGCCCCTATTTTTCTCTCTTGAAGAGACCCTTTGCTGTTGAAGAGTAAGGCAAAAATGTACAGTTCAGAGCACTTAGAAGCAGAATTATGTCTAAGGAGAATACCTTTAATTTTGAATGTCAGTGGCTCTTCTATAGATTTTTGTACTCTCGAATGAATTTGTTCAGTTGGGGTTTAGGGAACCCTCATTGCATGAATTAATCATACATATAAAAATTTGAATGTGAGTACCTTGATTGTCTTAAGGTGGACATTGTTTTCAGGCATGAAAGTAATACATGTTCATTATAAAACATCTAGAATTACAAAAACCTTTAACAAGAAGATAACCCAGAAATCAACATTTTGGTGTATTTCCTTGTAATTTATTTTTCTTTACAAAATTTGTATACCATTTCATTCAGTTTTACATTCTCCTTTTTTGTATTTTTAAAGTATATATAAACATAAATTTTTTTTGAAAATGTGGTCTCAAAGAAAGAAGGGAAAAAATGATGAGAAAAGATGGAAAAAATGGAAACAAAGCTTTTTGTAAATAAGAGGGGTTGAAGGGATGGTAGGGGAATGCGAAAAGAAAAGAATCACATTATACCATGTACAGGTACAAATACCCTATAATGAATGTGGTCATTATGTACTCCTAAAACGTACCCACAAATTTAATTAATAAAAGAAAGATTGCAATCTCCCTAAGTTGCCCAGGCTGCACTCAAACTCTCAATCTTTCTGCCTCAGCCTCCTCAGTACCTGGGGTGACAGGCATACCCCACCATGCTTGGCTTTGTTTTTACTATATTATTAAATATGTACTCCTCCAAGACATTCTTTTTAATGGCTGCTTATCGTTCCATTGACTGACTATATTATGATTTATTCAGCTAGCCCCGTTGTTGGCTATTTGTGAATCCTATTGTAAATAATATGTCACTGTAAACATTTGATCCTCCATTTTTGAGTGCTTATTCAATTATACCATTCAATAGGTTCCTTTTCAGCACATCACACTTCCCAGATCTCTGACTGTTCCTGGAGCCCTGACTGCTATTTATGCTACCCTGTCAAGGTCAAGTTCTGTGGGGATAACTGACAACAGTGTTCTGGGTGGAGGATTCTCTGTGACAGGGCTGTCTGTATTATCTTCTGGGAGAAAACCCTCCCAGTGGCACATATAAGAGGGGAAACTTGACAAAAGACAGCCTGCTTGTTTGCTGTGAGTGAGCAGCTTTCTGTGCCCATGTCAATTTCTGCAGGCAGCTGCCATGTGAGTACCCATAATGCAATGCTCTAGGCTGCATCTCTCAGGCTTGCACAGGCATTTGTTAACAAGCTATTCCTTCTCTCTGGTGGGTGCTTCCTGCTAAGGCCAGCACCTGCAGGAAGCGATGGAGGAAGGAAATACACCCAAGGTTCTCCCTGACAAGGATGGGTCCTACTGCCAACCTGGAGTCTGGGTTTTGCTGGGTGACAGCTGGACAAGTTTTGATGAGCCAGGGTGTGTTTGGGTGTGCCCATGGGTGTGTAGGGGAGACAGAAAGAGAGAGACAGAGAAAGAGATAGATAGATAGATAGATAGATAGATAGATAGATAGAGAGAGAGAGAGAGAAAGAGAGAGAGAGAGAGAGAGAAAGAGAGAGAGGGATATGGAGAGATGGAATCTTCTGCCGTTTCTCAGGCAGTTTTCTCTCTTGGAGTGATTCGCCTTTCTCTTAGCCAGCTCAGGCTGCCAGCATGAAATACCACAGAACAGGTGGTTCGGACAACAGCTGTGTATCTTCTCACAGTTCTGGAGATTATCAGGCCAAGATCCAGGTGCTGATGAGTTCGTTTCTGGTGAGGGCTTTCTTCCAGGTGTGTAGACTGCCGCTCTCTTCGTGTGCCTTCACATGACAAGGACAGGGCTCCAGCATTCTTCCTCCTCTTGTAGGGCACTGATCTCATCATGAGGACCCACCATTAAGCTCTCGTTGAAGCTCAATTGTCTCCAAAAGCCTCATCTCCAAACATCATCCCATGGGGTGTTAGGGGTTCACGGTATGAAAATGAGATGGGTATAGTTTAGTCCCTAGCAGAGGATGTAGTAGGTGGTCCAGGACACTCAAGATCTGTAGAGGACCACCTGGCTGATTCTCCTTGAAAAAAGAGCAGTTAGCTCCATTTTGGGTAAACCTGGCCCTATTTTGGCGTATTAATATGTAGAGAGCTGGCTAGGCCTTTTCCTTATCCCCTCAGTTGGCTTTAAGCAATGCAAATGGGTCCAACCAAGGTGCTGATGTGCAGTGTTTGAAGCAAGGCCACAGGGCAGTGTTGCCACATCTGTAGCTCCCACAAAGTATATGTGAGCTGGGCCGAGAAAGCCACACTGTTGGCTGGGATTAAGCCTCAAGAAAGAGGCTGCGACATCTCAGGCATGAAAAATTACACATCACAACTGAAACACTGACCCCCTTAACACTAGATATTGCCTCGAATAGTGTTATGCAGATTACTCTTTCTGCACATCTTTCTCTTGCTAGCTATTGCAGAGGTGATTTCAGGCCTCCCACCTAGCCCAGCTCACAGCACTCACATACTTCCTGTCACTCTCACAGCTACTCATCTCTGAGTCACTCCCCTCTTCACAAATTAACAAAACTTGGGTTTTAATAAGACCCTGGGGTCAAGGCCTTTGTTTCAGTTAGCCATTGTACTCGATGGAATTAAGACCCCCTTGGCTCCCCACAACTACAGGTATATTAGTACCTGTTGGTATATTAGTGTCTTTATTCTCCATGCCTTGCACTGGAAGTGGTAGACTGGAATTAACTTATTAGAATCCCAATAACTTTTCCATGGGATTACAAATGTGGATTTTTCTGGACTGCAACAAGGTCTACAAGGGCTTTCTGTAAAGATCCAGTCTCATGAGACACTTCATATAGACCATGACTCCTCAGTCCAGCCAATGGTTGGCAAACACGGGGGCATTGCGTAGCCAGGTGGCATCAAGCACTCATATTGGCCAAGTCTGTCTTGAGACTGCTGCCCCCCTTCCATTTTCTGGCTCTTGTAGAAATGGAGTCACTAAAAAGTCTAATTTCATGCAGATCATATTCTCCAGGCTTTTTAATGAGTGATTAGATTGGAATTCCTTCTTTTTATTTACATGTATTACTGGGATTTCTGGAAGGAAGTACAATCTGAGAGGTAAGTGCTGCACAATTTAAAACATTTTTGCCTTTTAGAAATATTTTACCATTTCTGAGAGAGAAAAATTACCCTTTCATAATATCTTAAGCTATTTTCATGACCTTTTTTTTTTTTTTCAGGCAAACTTTAGAATTATTTGCTTAAGTTCCAAATAAAACATATTGAGGTTTCCATTGGAACTGTGTTAAACCTATAAAAGACTTTTGGAAAGTACTGACATTTCTATAGTGCTGAGTTGTTTCACTCAGAAACATGGTAGCTTTCTATATTCAAGCCATTTATGTCTCTCAATAAGGTTTTGCAGTTTTTTTCACATTCACTCTTTTCTTTACAACTTTTATTCTTAGGTATGTTATAGTTTTTGTTGGTATTGTGAATGGGAGGTATTTCTGATCTGTTTTCTAGCAATTAATTTGGAAAGTATTGATATCTGCCTATTTTCCTTATATTAAGCCATCTGAGTGAACTTTCTTATTAGTACTATTGGGCTTTCCATTTTTGAGTTTTCAGTCATGTTATTCATACATAATAATAGCTTTGCATCCTTCTTTCCAGTGACCTTAACTCTTATTTCTATTTCCCGTCCTGTTTTTGACCTCTAAGAACTAGGTAATAATGGTGGAGAAGGCAGATTTTTCTTGATCCTAATTTTCTGAGAACATTTCAAAGGTTTCATGGTGTACCAGCCCAGCCTGACCTGTGTGCATTCAAGTTTGTTCCTTGCCTTCCCCTGCTGTGTGTGCTGCCGGGGACCAGCTCTGTGGGCTGTAGATCCCATGGCTCCCATGTTAGCTGGCTTCTGACAGAGGGCAGGCGATGAGTGATTCTGGCAAGAGATTGCTGAGCAGAAGGAAAGGGTAAGCCTGGGTATTCCTGCCCTGTTCTCTGCCACAGGGAGCAGTTCCAGCAGCAGCTGCTTGCATCGCACAGTTCCAGCTCTGGCCAGACAGGTAGCTGTATGGTTCCAGCTCTGCAGGGTAAACCTGGACCCTGGGTTTAAGAAATTTCCCTTTCTAGGGGCTGGGGGTTTAGCTCAGCGGCAAAAGCGCCTGCCTGGCAAGCGCAAGGTCGTGAGTTCGGTTCCCGGTACCGGAGAAAAACCAAAAAAA